ACTCCCTCTTTCCACTTTGTGTCAATGAAGCTTAAAGTGCCTAAGAATCAAGCTAATGTCAGAACTCAGACAGCTTTAAACAAATTATAAGAGTTTTAAAGGACAATATAAAATGATTGACTCAAACTACATACTGGGAAATCCTGAACCAAATAGGGCATCAGTTCTTCTAAGGACCATGCTATCCATAAATGCTCATTAGTAAGGGCCTTTTGCTCACTTCCAGCCACCACATATACCAGCAAAGATGAGTACTGTCTTGTCTAAATATGCATGTAGATGGGCTCTTTCCATGCAAATTATGGCTCGTTCTTATCATCTTCATGATAAGGGTTTTCTCCAGAGTGGAAAGGAGGGCTATGGGATTGAGAGGAATTCACAAAGGTTTTAATTAGAATACCAATGTTTTTGTTCTTTAAAAAAAAAAGTGAAACAATTCTGGCAAAATGTTGAGATTTGTTAAAGCTCATTGATGAGTACACAGGTGTTTATTATGTTATTCTCTAAATTTTTCTGAATCTTTGGACTATTTTTTAAGCATATATATTTAAAAGACCCTATGCCTACTAGTAGGGAAATCTCATAATGGAAAAACAGACACAGACCCAATTCCCATAGGAGTCACTGTCCAGTGAAGGAGGTGACCCTGAATCAAACAATTATAGATAGAGTTTCAAACTGCAGTTTGTTTTACAAAACTAAGGTTTAGAGTACAAGGAAAGCTTTCAACTCTGGTACCTGACCTAGACTTGGAGTCAGGGAATGCAGAAGTTCAGCTATGAGCCGAAGGACTTGAAAGTGTTGACTAGGAGCAAGTGGGTTGGGGCACAGAGAACACTGTAGAAAGGCCAAGTGCTGGGAAGGAGCAAGGAGTTTTCAAAGGAATGAAAGCGTGTCTGTGGGTCTGAAGAGCTGGGAGCAAGTAAAAGGGTGGCATAAGACGAAGCTTAAGAAGCAGGCAAGGGGCAGGTCATGCAGAACCATATTTAGGATTCTGGACGTGATCAGGGCCCTAGCAGAATGTAATGTGCCTTCATGGTCACCTGGAAATAGGTTGAAACTATAAATATTAAAGCCTTGACCACTAAGCATCTATAGTTTAACAAGTGGTATACTGGCAAACTGGCTTTCCAAATTAAAAAAGAAAAATTCCTGGTTGAAGTGTTTGCCTATGTCTGTGGTGGAAATACTCCCTCCATGTCTGATTTCAGGTCACTCACGTGATGTTACAGAAGAGATGTGTAGCCAGAGCTGATACAAGCTGGCTTCTGTTCACCACCATATTGTAACTTAGTTCTAGACACATTCTAAATGGAAATGATATTGTGGACTTTGGTATTAGTGAGAAACAACAGTTGTTGAGAGCAGATAGAATAGAATGCATTTTTTTCACAGAGAATATAAGATGTTCTCTTATTTCCTGAAACAAGTCACCACGGTGAATTTTAGGTTTTGTCACTTAATGGAATCAAATCAGAACCGGCCATGATTTCAATCTAACCTTGAGTTTATAAGCTTCGTTCATCCTTTGTTTCCTCATGCATAAAATGTGGAATCCCTTGAAGGGATAAAATCTTTATTATTTTATGAAATGAGGTCTTTTATAACCAAGGTCTAAGTTATGCCCATTAAGGGTTATAGCTTTCTAGTTTCATTGTCAGGGTGTGGGGACACAAAAAATCAACCATCTGCTGCTTGCTAGTGGTTTCTGACTCATAAATCAAAATTTCCCTCTTCTCTGTATGTCAAAGAATCACCACTGAGGTTGGTTAAGTGATTTGACTTGGCATTTTCAGCACTTAGTCCTTAGCCTACTATGAGGAGGCATCTTTTAGGTCAAATATCCGTATAACTAATGCAAGCAGTCTTTATGTCCAAAATTTACTCCACCAGGACTTGGAATTAATTCTATAATTAAAATGTTAGACACTGATTTCCTACAGCCACTCTTGGTGATATCCCACTGTGTATGAGGGCCTCTGGAATCCCTGACTTTCTAAAGAAGTTTAAAAAAAAATCAGTATTATCTCATGAATCCCAATTTGGTACACCATAGGTATTTATAAACCAGATTATACAGAAGGTAGAATTTCCTGATTGTGAAGTTTTGTTTTGTCTTGTTTCTTTTCAAGAGTGGTCTCCTTAACAAAAGGTATAAGACAGTATCTTCCAGCATCATTGGCAAGGGGCTATGATAATTTCCCTTGTAAAATATTCCTGTATGATTCATTTATTTCATGAAATAAAAGTGAATGGTGGCACACACTTGCATGGAATATAGTTTGAAATCTCTCCAAGGACTGCTATTACTTTAAAAACATTCCATTACAATAATTTATCGTGAAATCTTATTCATTCAAGCTTGCTTCAAGGGCTGTACTTGGAGCCTCAAAGAACCAAGCAGGAGCACATGGCCACGTATTGGCCATATTACTCTGAGAAACTTTCTAAATTTTTATTATAGACATGCACTTTCAAACATATCCCAAATGAGGGAGAACAGCAGAATGAATCACCAGGTACCCACCACCTACTTCAATAGTTATTGATTCATGGCTGATCTGGTTTTATCTTTACCCCCACCCCCTTTTCATTCATCCAACCCCACATTGAATTCCTGAGAGCTTTCAAAGGAAGTTGTGGAATCTTAGCCTGTGGCAATTTCAACTGCTCACATTCCTTCCTGGAAACTAGACTTTCTTGTAACCTTACAGTTTCAGCACAGCCATCAAAGAAGGAATGAACACATTTTCCAAGGCATTCTATTTACATGCTCCGGGTTTTTCATCAATCATGTAAAACAGAGTGACATTTTCAATTCAAACTAAAGTGACTCATCAAGCCAGAGGGACGGGTCATTGAGGACATACGACACCTTCCAGTTTAACCTGCTCTTTGACTGTGAACACCTGTGTAGTCGCCTTGCCATAAATCTCTCCCTGACCTTTCTGTAATGAGAGACCCTGTTTACATAATCCTGAGCCTTACCAGTACAGTAAGAAATGATTTCAAAATTTATTGCAGGAAACCTCAATTTTTGGAAAGTATAAATTTATATCAAATTCAACAGCAGGTCCATACTTTTACTTTAGAAGTAAAGCAAGCCACCGGGAAAAGCAATGGGAGAGAGTTTGATTCTTTCGACTAGAAATTTTTCTTAAAGAAACAATCAAGCAGTTCTTCAAAAATGTATGTTAGGGTGTTGAGTGCGGTAGATTGAATATATGAAAAATATCGGAAACAATTAATTATCCAACAATAGAGGATTGTGGAAATAAACTCTGGAACATCCACACAGTGGAATATTATGAAGCCTTGAAGAATAATGGGGAAATGTTTGTGATATATTAAGTAAAAGAAAAATGTTATCTTTAACAAATAAAGTGCTAAAAAATAGATGGAAGAACCTATAGATTAAAAGAAACTTAAGAGAATTATCAACCAATTGCAGTGTATTGTATTGTCCCTGTAAGTCTAAGCATGCATATGTGGGCATAGAACTGAGGAAACCTGAACAGTGACCAGTTATTGAAAGATACTATGGGTTTTTTTATAACTATTTTTTAAATGTAATAGTGGTATTTTTTTTAAGTTCTATGTTTAGAGATGAAATGCTATGCTGATGGGGCGTAAGGCTATAAATGAAACAAGTTAACAAAATTTGAGGGTTCATTACACTCTCTGCATCTGCACATGTTTAAAATTATGCACTGTAAAAACATGTTTAAGTTTGAAAACAGTATACACTCTGTGGCTCTGTTTATTAATTTTAGCTATCTTTTTTCTCATTCTGTATGAAACATGATAATCTTTAAAATTATTTAACAACTTGAACGAATGAGACAGGAACGAATGGGGGCAGGCACAACCGTTAAAAGAATGACACAGCCATTGAGAAAAACAGGATACGACAAAGACTGGTAAAAACAGACCAGGCCCAAGATGGCAGAAGATTCGACCTCCAGGAGACCTTGAGCCTGAGCATCTGCTCACTGTAACACATCAGCTAAATGACACCCCCACAGGCACCAAGGCAGCTCTGAGGCTGACCATAAAAGGCCAAAAAGTGGGCGGTGGCCCGATTTCTGAAGTCCCCACCCCTTCCCCAAAATAGTTAGAATATTCCTCCCACTCCTTAGCATATGAAATTACCCAGCCCATAAAAACTAACAACTCCATACCCCGGGGCCGCTCTCACTTTCTGATACAGCCAGCATTATGCCTGTGGAATATGTCTGTCTCTAATAAACCTGCTTTCACTTTACTTTCGCTCGCTCTTGAATTCTTTCCTATGAGACACCAAAGACCCTCACTTGGTGGCCTGTCCCAGGAACTCGCCCGAGACTTGGGACATGACCATTCTCTCGCTCCCCCTTCTCCTGCAACACTAATTTATGATAGACGTTAATCACCAAAATTTTGGCCTTTTCTCGTTTTTGCTAGTAAACCACTGTGTTCATAAACTGTTAAAAATAGCAATCTAAGATGAAGTCACATATTGTCTCAAACTAAATTTGGTGATCTTCTATTGACCTAAGGCCCATACACCAGTTATGAAGTGACTTTTATCCTGTGGCCTGGGAGCAATTTATGCCTGAAACAAGCAAAGAGACAAGCACAACTCTTCTGAAATGCTTGGCTTTCAAGTTTCAATACGAAGCTAAACTTTTATAAACAAAACAAGTAAGCAAACGGAATCTCCTAACAGGTGAGTGTAGAGAAACAAACAAAAACTTATTTTATATAAATGATTTGAATAGTCTATAACATTTTAGGGACAATTCTGCCCAAACTGATAAGAAAATGCAATTTTTCCAGGTACCAATTTTGCTTTTGCTTTGTTAAGGTGGCAGGATTTATCTTATGTAGGAAAAACTAAGTCACCAAGACATTGAACTTCCAAGCTCCTGAAAGATGCAGTTAGCCTGAAATGGGCTTTCCAGAAAGTGACCACAAGCATACAAAATGGAAAAAGGAAAAATCACATATAAAGTACTTACCATATCAGAGCCCCTGTGGATAGGTGTGTGGCGCTTTGTAACTTGATCCGGCTTAAAAACTCAACCACAGACCCTGTGTGCAGGAAAGAGAACAGTCTGGAAACTGGATTTTTGTGATCCTGCTTGAGTCCTCCAAGGCTCCAAATTGTTTAACTGACTAGAAAATTCTGCTTCGCTTCTAGTATTGGTCTCTCCTCCCTGGCCCTCTCAACTACAGGCCCTGAGCCCCATTTGGGGTAATTTAAGTTCTGTCCCACTCACGCTCCTGAACCCAAGTTCATCCTCTGTCCTGGGTGAGTCTCCACCCCCCACCCTCCAGAGAGTGGGGTCTGGAATGGGCCTTGCTGCCCTGTTGCCAGATGGGTACAGGCAGCAGGAGGCTTCTCCCCTCACTCCTTCTCCCATGGCACCTCAGGACTTCTGTTTTGCTTTCCTGACTGCTCCCCTGGTCAATACCCAGAAAGAAGCCCTGAGTCTCAGCCTTCTGCCCCCAGATGTGGCCCTTATCCTTCTTCCTCTAGTAACTGCAGGCTGAGGTCTGGCTCCCTCTATGAGGGACCACCTGGAAGCACACTGCCCCCTGGTGGATGCCATTCTTCCTGCTTGGAGATCCCTGCAGCCAGCCCACCTCTCATGCCAGATGGCTACACAAATATCTCCTTAAGTGGGGATTAAACTGTAATTTGCCACACCTGTAAAAAACATAATTAGAACTGTGGGACATTCCTCGGTGGTGTGCCAATGATACATTTTTAGGCTTTCTACAAGTTGTACTGTTAAACACTGTCATTATTAAAATTGGCCGCTGAGCCTGCGCGTCCGGAGCCTGTGCTCCGCAGTGGGAGAGGCCACAACAGTGCGAGGCCCACATACAGCAAAAAAAAAAAAAATTAATTAATTAAATTAAATTGTATAAACTTAAAATTAACTTACATTAAAAACAAAGGCCATAAATACTCAAAACTCATCCCTTCTTAATAATCTTACTAAATTTTACTATTTTCTATGCTCGTGAGTTGTTTATATCTATTGGTATCTGGGTGGTGGAAATTACTCCACTTGTCAAATCATAGTTGAATTGCAACCATAGGTTGGCTATGGATACAAGAGTTCAGCAAAAAATCAATGAAGACATTCAGTGTGAAGCAACTGGCTATATGGAATTTAAAATAAAAAGCATTGGGGCTTCCCTGGTGGTGCAGTGGCTGAGAGTCCGCCTGCCGATGCAGAGGACACGGGTTCGTGCCCCGGTCTGGGAAGATCCCACATGCTGCGGAGCGGCTGGGCCCGTGAGCTATGGCCACTGAGCCTGCGCGTCTGGAGCCTGTGCTCCGCAACGGGAGAGGCCACAACAGTGAGAGGCCCACGTACCGCAAAAAAAATAAATAAATAAATAAAAAATAAAGAGCATTGTATATTTTATTATTATTTATAAATGGTGTGCTGCATACCCTTTACATCAGTAAAATTTATAAATGGACATAGTTTTTTTTCTAGAGAGCTAATTGTTAAACATTTTGAAGCACACTGCAGTGTCCCTTCCTCCCACTCCAAGGCCAGTTGTAGAGTCTCATTAATTCTCCCAGTTCTGCAAACACCCCATTACTGACTTTGAGAGCTGGTTGGAGGGTGGGAAGTTCATACTCCCACCCCTACCCTCACCACCCCTGATTAATCCTGTCCAAGTGGAGGGACATCATTAGCATACCACACCTGGCCTCTTCTGCTTCCTGACACATTCCTTCCCTGCGGAAGGTGAACTGACTTCCCTGGTTGGTGAGTTTAGAAGGAGAAAGAAATCATGCATGGCCTAGCTCCTGCTTCTGTTCCTTTTCTTAGAAGCCACCCACAGGGGGCATCTCTCTCCACATGGGGAAGTCTGCCATATTCTGGTATTGCCTGAGGCTGATGAGCAAGTTGGTCAAATTCTGGAGTTTGGTATTAAGAACCCCACTTGCTCAAAGATAGAAGCTATGCTCTGTAAAGTAGCATTGATCATAATGAGGGCCATATATTGGCCTCCATCTGCTAACTCCTTTGTCTTATTTCTCACTGGTTTAAAAACTGAATGGGGAAAAGGAGTGCTATTTACTGGGTCCCTCAGAAACTCACAAAGGCTCCTCTTCCATCAGCCTTTGCTCCTGAGGTCACAGAATGCCTTGTGGCTGTACCCATTTGTACTGGTATGGATAAGACTTTTCTAAGATGAGAAAACTTGACTGGCAAATTTATTTGATTCTAATTCCTTTTATTACCTATACGTGTATGTGGAATAATAATGCTTACACAGTTGAGCACCTTGTATATGCCAGATATTGTACATAGGAACACAGATCTTAGAAAGCAAGTATTAATGACCTAGAGTGTTAAAGTAACTTTCCCAAGGTCACAAAGTAACAAGCTAGTTGTCTGATTCCAAGGCCCTTGCTCTTTCCAGTACATTTTCCCTCATTCCCCTTTTCTTTCTCTTTCCTCCCAACCCCAGCCCTCTAGTCTTCCCTCCTCTCCTCTCCTCTCCTCTCTCTCCTTCTCTCTTTCACCCATCCATCCTTCCACCACTACCTTCCCCCATTTCCACATTTTCTAGCCCTTTGACACTACAGAAAACTAAGACAGTATCTGAAATCTCAGAGGTTTATTTATTTATTTATTTATTTATTTATTTTTGCCGTGCGTGGGCCTCTCACTGTTGTGGCCTCTCCCGTTGCGGAGCACAGGCTCCGGACGCGCAGGCTCAGCGGCCATGGCTCATGGGCCCAGCCACTCCGCGGCATGTGGGATCCTCCCGGACCGGGGAACGAACCCGTGACCCCTGCATCGGCAGGCGGACTCTCAACCACTGCGCCACCAGGGAAGCCCTCTCAGAGGTTTTTATACATATATATAATTTTAGAATTTATACATATAATTATATATAACTCATATATAATTATATATAAATTCTAAAATATAATAAAAATAAATAAAAATTCTACAAAATCTTACCCCAACAGCTGGGCCCTCAAGAAACTTGGCGGCAGGCATGAGGAAAACTGTGGCTGTCTTTTTAGTATCCTCCTCGGGTTTCTCATGAGCAATGTCTAGCATCCCATTCAAGATCCTGCAGGAGGAGGTCACAAAGAAATGAGTGTGTGTCGAGAGAGACCACAGGATTGCATCAAGCTAGAGTCTGTGCAGGCTTGACCAGGGGGCTGGGCTCTACGTGGAAAATGCAGCCTTACCTCAAATGGAGTGTTTTCTGTTACCTCCACATCAAGCTTTCTTTCCCTGGGGTCAGTAGTTGTGCAACAGTTTCAGAGACTGAGCAAACAGTTTAGAAATTATTTGGGGAATGATTACAGGAAGGGGAAAAATAAATACATATATATACACATATATACCTATTATATATATTTAAAAAATGCATTCTCTATGGGAGGTAACATCATCCCCAAGGGGGTGAAAATTTGTTCTCAGGGGAGAGGGTGAAAAAAACTCTCTTTTTACATATAAAGCACAGATAATACTGACATACATATAGTGCCTAAACAAATACAGTAAGTCTTTGGTATTAAAATTTCATGGAGGGGATATTAAGAAAAACCTGTCTAAAAAGGCTCCTTAGGGGAACAATAATTTTTTTAAAAATGGTTGAAAAACAGTGATGTATATTGAAAGCCTAGCAGACTATGTGACACATGGTAGGTATTCAAAACATGAGACTTGAAGGTGCTATTATCATGGTTAGTTGTTCTTACAGTTGTCCAACAAACTAACTAGAGGGCCATGCCATCCCATCATGGTTACGGTGGAGAAGGGGCACTGTGGCCAGTTCCCAGATGAAGTTAGCTTAGGGTGGATCCTGCATGAGCTAGAGGTCCAAACTGCCTGGAGTTCTAGAAAATAAGCAGATTCTTGCACACCACTGGGATGACCTCTGGGATGCTCAGGAACACTTGTGCAGGATGGTGTTAAAATCCAAAGAACAAAGCATGGCACAGACGTTTGTGAGCAGCGCATAGGCTACCACAATGCCCATGTTAATCCTCTGGGGAAAGGGCGTGCTCCTAAATTCAGTTTCTTCCTGGCTAAGAACTCGACCACCGAGTTTTGTGTGCCTGCCTCTGTTTCTCTTTAGAGAATCTGGCTTCTAGGAGGCACTCAATATTTGAGGTAATACAGGGTTGGAGCAAATATTGAGCAACCTCTCACGGCTGCTGCATGTGCTCTGCAGGTTGAATTACCCAATGATTATTCTTAAGACCTGTATTTGTGTTCCTTTCAGCATACAAAGTGGTCTCATATAAAGTATCTTATTAAATCATCATAATAACCTAGTAATGTTATTATTCTATCACTACTTGAAGGATAAAGAAGCTGAGGCTTGGAAAGTTCACTTATTTTAGTTATTTGTCGTTTTTTTTTTGGCCGTGCTGTGCAGCATGCAGGATCCTAGTTCCCCGACCAGGGATCAAAACTGTGCCCCCTGCAGTGGAAGCATGGAGTCCTAACCACTGGACCTCCAGGGAATTCCCAGTTATTTCTCCTCTTTAGCTGCCCAGTAATAAGTAGCAGAGCAAGCCTCCTTTCTACTACGCTACACCACCTTTGATATTCCTTTCCCACAGAGGAGAAAGACACACGAATGGTAAAGCTACAGAGGAAAAGTCATATGCTGGAATTTGGGGACTCCGAGCGAGGGATATGGTAATATCTATGAATTGACACAATTAAGTCATGCAGGAAGAGGAGTTATTTCACGGAATATGAATCTGGCATATGGCAGAGCCTGCTGAGGCTGGTCAAACTATCAACTGCCAAGTTACAGGGAAATGAAAAGCCGTCAAAACAGAGATGGAAGCATCTCAAGATGCTGTGAAATTTGGAACATAGAAGACTTAGGGCACAAATGTGGAGAACGAAAATGTGACATGAAAAATGAATGGCCAGGGGACTTCCTTGGTGGGGCAGTGGTTAAGAATCTGCCTGCCAGTGCAGGGGACACGGGTTTGAGCCCTGGTCCGGGAAGATCCCACATGCCGCAGAGCAACTAAGTCTGTGTGCCACAACTACTGAGCCTGTGCTCTAGAGCCCGTAAGCCACAACTACTGAGCCCACGTGCCACAACTACTGAAGTCCACATGCCTAGTGCCCATGCTCCGCAACAAGAGAAGTCACTGCAATGAGAAGCCCGCGCACTGCAACGAAGAGTAGCCCCCACTCGCCGCAACTAGAGAAAGCCCAGGCGCGGCAACAAAGACCCAATGCAGCCAAAAATTAAATAAGTAAATAATTAAATAATTTAAAAAAAAAAAAGAATGGCCAGGTACACACTTGGTGCAAATTTTCATTTCAGGGCCACAGCTTCAAATGTAGGAATGAAGGATATTTGACTAAGAATGGAGAGCATTTTTCAAAGAGTGAAAAGAATGTGTTTAGTCAGAGACCAACTCATCTGGCCAAAAGGGCTGTAAATGGAAAACAGATGGGAAAGGAGAAAAAAACACCTACATAAAACTGAAATGGGTTTCCATGGATGACATGAAGGAAGGCCTGGGAAGAATTTCAACAGTGAGGGAGGTGCCGAGTGATTCCATGAGAAAACTATTGGGAAGGACATCAGAAACAAACTAGACAGCAGATGTCCTGATATCATGCACAGAACATAGTAACCTTGAGATTACAGCACAGGGTGACAAACAAGACCTCATAGATACCAAGAGAGTTGGCAGGATGGAACAGGTCCATGGGAACATAGTGATAGAAGGGTGTGCTGTGCACAAAAGACCCGTTGAGAGGAGATGGAACAGCATTGTAGGCTGTAATAACAACAGATTCAGAGGAATCCCTGAACACTTGGATGAAGATGAAAGGAGAGAGGAACAGAAGTGATGTTTTTATGGAAACTGAGCTGAGCCACATGGGGGAAAGCCACAAAATTGGCAGAGCACACACGCTGGGGATAACATTCTGGATATCTCATTCAGATAAAAGCAGAGTTTTTTCACTTGCCTTCACATCCTAGAAGGTAGAGGAAAGAATAAAAATAACTATGCTCTGACTGATTCCAACCAATGGGAAGAAGCCATTTGCTAGAGTGGAAAGGATGAGACCCTGGGAGAATGTGGCCATGTCGTCTTCAAGGGAAGACAAGGATGAGCTGGATAAAATGCGTACAGAGGACTTAAGGAAGCTAGACTTCAAAATATCTTTTAAAATAGGCATAATTCCACAAGTTTCCAAAAGAAGACAGTACCAGGAAGTGCTCAGAAGCATGACTTTGGGCAATTCCAAAGAAGAGAAAAGAGGTGGGGATATTCTTAAAGAAATTAGAGAGATGGCACAGAGCTCTTTAAACTAGAATATAGAATGAACACTCAAAAAGACGGAGGCAAGTGATCAGAGTGACAGAGAACCATACAAATGGTAGCAGGAATGTTAAAATCCTGGAGGAATCAAAGCATGCAAAACTGGCAAGGACCAGAGGATGTGTTACAGGTACAAGGGAATTATGATAATGGATGGTAGAAAGGATGTACTATTTCTCAAATTTCTCTTTTAGGGTCTGAAAAAGACTGCAATTGTGGGGCTGCAAAGACAAAAGTGGATAAGAATATGTTGAAATCCAAGGTTGGGGAAGATGTTACTGATCCCTTTTGAAAGCTAATACAGGACCAAACTTGGTGGTCCACAGTCTATGGATCAAGTGGCATTCATTTGCCTATCTCCACACATTCTTCCTTCTTCCTAAGTATTACCAATAGCATGTTAGCAAGTTGATCTCCAAATTCTTACAGGAGATTGGGGGTATCACCGTTTCGGATCAGAAGAATTGATTCCATTTGGATCATCTGCATACTCTCCTAGTATCAGAGTGCTTTTAGTTGAAATATGTCTAGTTCAAGGCTTAAAACTAGCTAACTAATTACAGAAGAATAGTTTCTAAAGTCCTCAGCGGCATACTGTTTATACTTCTAGTAAGGTATTCCACCTTTACCAACACAAAATGAAATGTGTTGGAGTTTTCCAAGGTTTGTCTAGAGTGGTCTCTCTTAAAAGAACTTGGAAAAATGAGTGTCACTGTCTTTTATAAAAATTATGGAGTTATGCCATAGTCAACACATCATTTTATGAAATTATAGAACAGGCAAAACTGATCTGTGGGGAGAGAAATCATGATAGTGGTTGCCAGGATAGATAGGGGCAGGGATAGAATGGAAGAGACCGTAGTGAACCTCCTAGGATGATGGCATACTCAGCTGGAGTGCTGGTTACACAGATATCTGCAGTTGTCAAAACTCATCAAATTGTCACTGTCACTGTATGCAATTACACTTCTATAAATATATATAAAAAGTATATAATAAATCTGGGCAGTGATATGAAGTGAAAAAAGAATGATTTTCTCCCATGACTTGACAGCGATCAAATGAAGTTAAGAACATCAGGGATCAGAGAAAAGCAGTCTCAGAGTTTGAAATTAGCAGTACTCTACCAGTAGATTTAGTGAAAAGTCAGTCTTACCAACACCCTTGAACTGTTAATTTCCTATTGGCAAAGTCTCCCATATTGTAGAAAAGGGGCACCACTACCCTTTTTCCTGGTTACACTGGAACCAAGTACTGCTGGTTCCCAAACTTCCATGCACATAAATATCATCTTGGATGTTTGTTAAAAATGCAGACTCTGGGTCCATACCTGGAGATTTTGATACAGTAAATCTAGGTTAGTGTCTAAGAATTTCCATTTTAGTGAACATCCTTGGGGAGACTGATGGAGGTAGTCAATGGACTTATACTTTGAGAAACACTTTAGATAATCAAATCATAAAACTAGTTCCTAATTCCTCTAATTTCAGGCTCTCCAGCCCACCTTCTGATAATATAGCCTTTTTCCATTCCTTCACAAAGAAAATATGTTGCTTATAGCAATACGTGTATTCCAGCCCATGTGACCAGAACTTTCTTATTCAGTAATAAATAGGCATTGGTTTTGTACCTCAATCTGACGGACCTGGTATTTAAATAAATATAAATACCCTTATAAATGTGGTAAGCGTTTCACATGATACTGAAAAACTGTACTTCTTGGACTGAAGGACAGATATGTGCCAAATTTATG